ATCCCATCGCTACTTCTTGTCAGTATATTCTCCACCCCATCGCTACTTCTTGTCAGTATATTCTCCCATCCTATCGCTACTTCTTGTCAGTATATTCTCCCATCCTATCGCTACTTCTTGTCAGTATATTCTCCCATCCTATCGTTACTTCTTCTTAGTATATTCTCACATACCATTGCTATTTGGTGTCGGTATATTCTCACATCCCATCGCTACTTCTTGTCAGTATATTCTCCCATCCCATCGCTACTTCTTGTCAGTATATTCTCCCATCCTATCGCTACTTCTTGTCAGTATATTCTCACATCACATCGCTACTTTTTGTTTAGATAGTTTGAAAAATACGTGAGAGTGAGGTTGCATTTACAAACAGAAAACTAGCCACCTTCTAAATAAAACTAAAATAGCAAGGTTCGTTATGTTAACAATGTTTCAAACAATTTGAGAAATCCTTTCAAATATTATAATTTATAGATTTTATAAGACAACTTTTATAATATATAATCATGTCCAAGCGTTTCTTAAAATAATGTTGTTCTAGAGAGATTTTCGATTTCGATCTTTTTCACACATTTGAAAGAAGTTATGGTGGTTTAAATACCACTTTTTTTTTTTAAATACCCAATAATATATTTCTTCAAAAGAGAATTCGAACGCTCTTTAGACTTATGAAAAACCAATATCTAGTATCTAAATTCCATTATTTTGTAACTACATCTCAAACTTTTGAAGTTTTACTAAATGAAATTTTGCTACTACCTTCAAGGATTCTTTCAAAATATTCATGGTCTTAGCGACCATTAAAACGCTTGTGAATGATATCGTCCTATAGTTTTTTAATATATATATATTTTAAATCTTTGGGGAACCGTTTGATACGTTATGAAAATGTTTCGTACTTTAAACAGGAAGTAATCTGTTATCTTGCATTCTTGATACTGTTATATCAGTGATTGTAATATGTTTGTATTGAGAAAGAAAAAAGGACAAATTAAGTTATTAACCTGAATCTTAATTTTTTTTTTTGCTTAATGACTTGGCAATTAGTGAATCCACCTATTTTTAAACTTCGAAAAAACACATACTATATCAAACCAAGCAAAAACTTATATAATACCCACCTACTCAATAAAATCAAACATGTGAGGAAATCATTCTGCTATATAAATACATCCACTTCTATTTTAGCAAAAATCATATAAGAACCTGCCGTAAAAATGATTTTGAGCTAGAAGTGCTTTGATACAACAATATAAATCCAGCATTCATTTTTTTTCCATTTTCAATTATTATTTGCAATTTTTATAATATTTGTCAGAAAGAGAAACTGTGGAAGTTTCGTTGCTCTGTAAAACTTGTCTCAGCCAAAAAAGAAAGAACAGTTTGAAGGGTACTTCCTGGTTAAAGGATTTAGTGTCCGACTTTGCTAAGATTCTCATCTTAGACTTCTTGATCATATTTTGCTTACCTTTTCTTGGCATGAGAACAAAGAATTATAATTGTATTTTTTTTTAAGTATACAGCACACATCTATTACACCATTTTCCAGGTAATTCCACTAAAAGAAGGACTTGTTGGTGAGAATTTCTAGCACTCTACTAGAATGTGATGTCTTCATATTCCAGGGTAAAATAACTGAATGTGATGTCTTCAGGAGCTCATATTCCAGGGTAAAATAACTGAAAGTGATTTATTATGAATTTACTGATAAGTTCTATTCAAATACTGATATTTACAAACTAATAACACTAATTTAATTTCTCACACGCATTCTCTATCTTCAATATAATTGTTAACTTTAAATAATGCTAGATATACACTACAATTTGTGCATGTGTGCGTGTGTTATAGATATTTTATGAAAGATATTAAAATTGTTTTTCGCCTAAGATAAAATGAATTTCAACTCCTTCAATCGTAGTGATAAGCTTCAATAGTGTTACTTTTTGGTCAAAATCTCAACTTCATGTTGAGTTGTGAGTATTACTTTTCTTATAATGTTTATTATAATGATTTATAAAATATTACAAGGCTGTTATAATGACTTATAAAATATACTCACATATTTTTGGTATTTCCTGAATGATTACATTCTAAATAATTCAGATAGAACATTAACATGAGATAATCTACAGTATTAGCCAAAATGTTTGCACAGTGTTCTATATCGATGCTATTTACATTTATATTGATACGTGGAATAGTTATTGAGTACATGCCCTAGTAGTAACAGAAAAGGTAGCTCATGATCGGACAAACATGTACGAGTTGTTATTCTGGTCTGTTTATGTTGTTTTGAGCATTTGTTCGTCAAACATGCATACACAGCTGTTTTGTATCAAATAGTGTGCTTTTGGTATACTCTTTTTCGAAACAGATCAAAACTTTGTTCAGACAATATATCTATACTTGGTGTAGAGTCATGCCTCGTCATGTGCTAGAAGTTATAGGGCATCAAATTGTTAGACTGTCCAGAAATGATATGAAGCAAACGAGATGACCGTATTTTGATCAGGTTAACAAATCAAGGTTGAAAGAAGTATTGCAACACCTTACGACAAGAACGGCATGAACACGTACATTCCAGGGTATCCAGAAGAATGGTGAACAGGAGACTGACCAAGCAAGGTTATTCTTCCAGAAGGGCTATCTGCAAACCAATATCAATCAGAATCCACTGCTGTCACCATGTTGTTTGGGCAAGACAGCATGCAAACGTACAGTTAGGACACTAGCGGCATGTCATCTTTTCAGACGAGTCCTATTTCCGACTTGTTAAAGATGACGGTAGGATTCATGTTCGTTATTTGCCTGGAAAACATATCACAGAAGAATGTCTTTCCCACAGGGAATACACACGAGGTGGTGCAGTACATGTTTGGGCAGCTATTCATCATGATGGAAAAATCTCTCTTCATATCCTACCAGTGAAACGTCAATGCCACCTCCTACGGGCATCACATGGAGACGATATTTCTGCCTAATGCTAGGGCAAGGTTTGGCTGTAACTTTATATTCCAGTACGATAATGTCTCTGCCCACAGTGTGCATCTTTTTATAGGATTATCTCGACAAGGAAGGTGTTACAAGATTGCCATGGCCAGCAAAAATCTCCAGCCTGTTAAGTATAACTGAGCCGGAAAATTGGTAACCACGACCCTAAACCAGCTATTGTAGCTGAGTTGCCACGCTTTTTGGTGACGTTGGGATGAAATCAATAACCTCGTCGACAGGATGTCTTGCGGAGGTTATTAGAGTACGAGGAAGACCAACCAAGTACTGAATGTTTAATATGATCTGATATAAGGTTACAGACGCTATTTATAATAATTTTATGTTATATTTTGGTAAGGTTTTGTTGTCATAGGTTAAATGTTGAATTACCTCTGTTTTTACAGGTGTTTGATAAAATTGTTTGCTGTTCCAATAGAACCTGTTTCATTATACAAATTACATATGTAGATATTTAATATAGCACGCATTTCTCAGTTTGACGGCATAATTGTATCTCTATTCCACCTTAATAATAATTATCTTATTTGTTACAAGATATGCAAACATTTTTGCAAAGACTGTATTTTAGTTTAACTTTAGACAAAACAAAACAAATTTAAACTGATACTTGAACCTTTCTGGAACGCTATCGTGTACTCTTTACTTCAGTTGGTTCTTTTATTTTGTACAAGAACATTGGTAGCCTCACATTTAATATTTCTCACGCATGTTTGCACTGGTTGATGTACTTATGGTGTTTTATTGTATCTAGCTGTCAAACGAAATGTCGTAAAATGTCTCCCGAGCGATAAAGAAGGAAACATTGCGATGTTTAATAACAAAAGTATGTTTTCATATCTAGGTACACGGGGTATGTCCCCGGTATACGCAAATACATTGGACAACCTTATGGAAAGGCTACAACTTTTGCTTTTAGGGTAAGTATAAAAAATTACCTGTTAAAAGTATACATATCCAAGTTTACCTTTACTTAAGCTCGACTAACTAAAACATCGAACGTACGATTAACATGCTGTATAATCCTTTTGTGTGTATGAATTACAATAAAGTGCGTTTAATTCCTTTTATTTTCAAATAGCAAGCATGTGACTTGCTACACAGTTTTTGTTCTCCTTTATTATTCTTGTAAAGTATACAAAACTCATTCAGTGAGTAAGGATAAGGTTGATTCCAGTGCATGAACTGAGTGTAGAAGATATTACATTAACAACAATGTTTCTAATGAAGTAACGTACTGGTATTACGTAGTTCGTCCCTGTTTGTTTTTCAAACTAACTAAATCTATGTTAGTTATGGAAATTGTAATTAAAAAACAAAAACAGAATAATTTTAGTGCTTGGACTATGTGATAAAACCATTTCAAGTAGCTACTTGGATTCTATAGCTTGGACTGTATGGCACAGCCTTTTCAATTAGACACTTGGATTCTATAGCTTGGACTGTATGGCACAGCCTTTTCAATTAGACACTTGGATTCTAAGCTTGGACTGTATGGCACAGCCTTTTCAATTAGACACTTGGATTCTAGAGCTTGGACTGTATGGCACAGCCTTTTCAATTAGACACTTGGATTCTAGAGCTTGGACTGTATGGCACAGCCTTTCAAGTATACACTTGGATTCTAGAGCTTGGACTGTATGGCACAGCCTTTTCAATTAGACACTTGGATTCTAGAGCTTGGACTGTATGGCACAGCCTTTCAAGTAGCTACTTGGATTCTAGAGCTTGGACTGTATGGCACAGCCTTTTCAATTAGACACTTGGATTCTAGAGCTTAAACTGTATGGCACAGCCTTTCAACAGCCTTTCAATTTATCCCTTCTCTTTACACTAACAAACATGTTTTTAGACTAGGGTTTTTGTTTGTTTTTTACAAAGACGGGTTATAACTCGTCTCTAGAATTAAGAAGAATGACTCTTTCGGTCAACATTGGCACAATTATGTATGTTTATTAGAAATATTGCTTTCTGATAAGTTAAACACACTGGAAACACACTGGCAAGTATATGTTTATACTCTGTTTTTTTATTACTATGTAGCCCCGAGTGGCTGCGGACTTACAATACTAGAAACCGGGTTTCGATACCTTTGGTGGGCAGAGCACAGATGGCCCATCATGTAGCTTTGTGCTTAACTTCAAACAAACACTAACACACAAATATTACTATGTAAAGATAAGGCTGTTTTGTTTACATGCGAAAGAAACAGTGTTATATGTTGGTTAGTTTTACAAATAACAATATTGTCAAGAGGTTAGTCTTTTGTTTTAGTTTGGAAAGTTCGTGACTGAAGAGGGATAAATTTCAGTTTATCCTCGTTCCCTTCGCAACTAACAACGACTGACCTGAAACAGAGATCTACTGTATATTGAACCTTAACCTCTCTTGTACGTAAAATTATTTCGTGCCTTCATTTTGATAAAGGTTTCGGTATATATATGAAATACATGGGGGCGTAATTCTGTAATTAACCAAACATTTATTAATGTATGTAAAATCACTGACTTGGGCAGTAACGAATCAATCCGGGGAGACCTGTAACAAGCAAACTGTCTGGTATCACAGTAGATTTACGGATAATGTTTTGACATAATAACGTTTGCATATCACTGCTTGTTGACCATGCAACGAAGCCAGAACTGTTTTTAATTTCTTTGTCTGATACAGTTTTCACTGGAATCGAAGTTCGGTGAATCAGAAGTCACCATTAAAAGATAGTTAAAAACTTTAGAACTTTTGTTTTCACCATTTATCAGGGTCGCTATGGGAAACATTCACCTCTCACGCAAAGCTATGATAATCTGAACACAGGAGCTCCTTCTTCTGGCATGCCGGTGCGCACAGTAGCCGGTTACACTGGTGAGTCTTGTTTATTTATAAAATATATGTGTGTACTTGGAGTTGATAGAATTCTTCGTGAAAAATGTTTGCATCATTGCATATTTTATTGCTGCTTTCAGCCATACACAATGAGGAGAATTTTGAACGAAGATACACGTACTACTGTACCCTAAATATGTCACGCAATTGAACGTTTAGAAGTTTTGCGTGTAAACCATAGTATTCCAGTTAATCAACCATTTATAAAGATAATCAGTATAACACATTGAATCTCGTAGTTGTAGCTTTATAGTGTAAGAAGTTGTAAAAAAGTTTATGATATTTTTTTTACTTGATAGAAACTGTGATTTAGTTTTGGGATAGGAAGCAAGACATGGGATATAGATACCACTTTAATTCAACAAAGTAAACTACACTTGTTACGAGCGGTTGTTAAGAATTATCAGAATAGTAACATACCTAATAATGTCTGGGTTTATAGTTAATATTGTATTATTTAAGATATTTTAAAGGAACGTTTGGCCTTTTTTTAATGTATATATTTTTTTCTTCTGATAGGAGTGACTTCTTTCTGAAACTTGAATTACTTTAACAAACGTTTTTATCAGGTCATTTACCAGGTCGAAGGTTTCTGATGGGAAGATCATTTCGACAAGAACTAGAGATCCTAACGCCGTCGTTACAAAACAGGTCGGAGCGTAATTCAGAAAACCTTCAAAAATGGAGATCAGAACCAGACATGTTGTCCAAGCAGCTAACTCTAGGAATCACTCCGGTTCACCGGTTCAACAACAGTGGAGAGTTGGAGAAAAAGCTTGACAAAATCATTGATTTGTTAGAAAACATACCTCCTGAATCTCGAGTCATGGATTCTCCTTTAGTACTGAGTGAAAGCAAGAACGACCAGGTTCTAAATCATTCAACTAACTTACCCTCGAATTCAAGTTATCAATCAGTGACAGCTGTAGGTGATGTCGAAAGTGTTAACATATTTGAACAAGACCTTCTTTGGAATCGCATTCCTTCTACATACAAAAAAGGCGTTAAAACCTACATTCCAGGCTACCAAGGTTACGTGCCTAACTTTCGAAGCTCGACAGCCAGCCTTGGTGTCACGTATGCCAGAGCAGCCGCTGCTTTGAATAATATTCGAGATTTTAACTCACAGAAAAACAAGAACACTACTCCTCGTTTGGAAACTTTTAATGTTCAAGATGGCGAAAGAGAAAATGATGGAAATTAAAACAAGTTGAAAAGTTGAAAGAGAGAGCGTTCACATTTTCCCTTTTTTCCTAGTACGTTTAAAAATTACAAGCATCTAAACATTTAAACCATACTTTAGGTTATTTTAAATATATAAGTGGGGAAATATTTAATATTTTCTAATCTTATATTCACAGAAATTAACAATTAAAACACAATACAGATTTACTGTTGAACAATATGGATGGTGTTTTGCTAGGTGGAACTACAAAGAGCATACTATGATGTAGGCAATGAGTGGAGTACAATAGGTATCTTGGAAAAGAAACGATTTAAAGTTGTTATGTGCTATATATTCACTTTAGTTTGCCCCATGTTTACAGCATATAGTGTACGCGCATAACCTGTAAAACTTGTTATAGTTTCTTTCCAGGGTACGACGAACACAGAGTTGGAACTATTCTGAACTAAGTGGACTTGCAACGTGTATTTTGTTTTAACATGAACTACACCTGACTTAATTGAAAATATCCGTATTGTTTATATTACCCGCAAAGAATAATCAAGAAATTCATGGACAGTGTGCAATGTTAAGTTCTTATAAAATATCAAGCAATTCATGGACAGTGTGCAATAGTAAGTTCTTATAAAATATCAAGCAATTCATGGACAGTGTGCAATGTTAAGTTCTTATAACATATCAAGCAATTCATGGACAGTGTGCAATGTTAAGTTCTTATAAAATATCAAGTAATTCATGGACAGTGTGCAATGTTAAGTTCTTATAAAATGGTGAACTTTTGTACATTAAATTTTCTTAGATTCAGAGAGCGATTTTTGTAGTCAGTTTTATTTTGATTTTTAAAACTTTACCTTCGAACGTTCTTTATCATGCCAAATATTGATGTTGGGTTGTTTTTGTTGATGGCGCTCGGTTTCATTTTTTTAAAAATAGTTCTCTAAGGATTGTTGTTTGGATGTTGTTAGTATTTCCTCCATAATAATAATAAATCAATACGATTTGGTAAACTAGTTTATTTAATATTATATTTATATGCCGTCCAGAAGGAACGAACCACCATTCCCATCCGCTTGCACTACCTGAAACCGAAGTTTCAAAGCATTGGCTCTATGTGCCTCGCAAAGGAACAGCAAGGATTTAACTGTGTTTTTAAGTAATATCATGAATAACTTTGCGGAAAATATAATGAAACAGATTTTTCCTACACTATCTCTAAGTATAAGTGGCACTTGTTAGCGTATTATATTGTTTTGAACCAAAACTTCAATTCTTGAAAAATCTAACACGAGTTTTTGACATTATTGTACACTGCAGTTTGCAGACATTTTTCTTGCTTCGTATACACTGTACTTTCCAATAGAGAACGCTGAAAATTACATTGGTGGTTTATTTCCCGTTAGTATTTTAAATTAACTTGTTGATCTATAACAGTTATGTTATGTAGAGTCACAATTAAAAACAAAACTAGTTTTATTTACTTCAATACCTCTAAATTATCTCGTTTGATACAACTTATCGTTCGTACGTTTTATATGTCTATTGTGTATTAGTAATATGTATGTGTATATAATAATTTTCGTGGTCGTTAGTATTCCTCACGCACACAAGAATTATTTGTACGTTTATTAATATATCTTAATCATATTGATATTTCGTACTGTAGAAAATAAATAAGAAATAACACTAACTTAAAGAAATTGATTAATTATTATTTCTGTTTTTGATCTGTCAAAGTATAAAAATATGACATTATTTGTTATGTAACTAGCATTTTAGATAAAATATTCTGCAAAATACATTACAGTATTCTACATTGTTTTTGACGTCATGTGTACTAACAGATAAAATTCGCATTGATGCATGAAATATTCAACAAAATGATCTTTCAGTAATCTTGTTGGAATCGCTATTTTGGCAACGTGCAAACAACTTGTCTATTGTTATAAATGGTATTTCCTCTTTACTATTTTTATGGCGTTAAATTCCACTCCACCTTGTGTTTTACAGTATGATATATCTGTAATAATCCCATTCATTATTTTTTGATTAAATTGGTTTATGAAAGGCAAGATCATAGGTGGCGTAAGGTTTGTTCACACAACCTACGATTGAACGGAAAATCCACATAGCAACGTGACGATGGTATCTGAGGGATATGCTAATAAGTTTTGAGGAAACGACAACCACGAGAATACTTAGTATCAATTACTTTGTTTCAAAAATACCATTTTAGATTTATATTACCAATTTGAGTCAGAGATTTATTTTTTGAGGTTTTGTTTTTAATAATTGATTCGTCAAACAGTTCGGTATTATAATATACTAGATCAAATTTCTAAACGTTGTCACTCTATGTAACATTCTTGGCTGATAATAGTATTCCGATTAGGATTATCCACAAAACATGAGGACCACAAAATTATTCTTCCCTCAACTTGGCATGATTTTTTCCACTGCATAATGTTACGTATTACAATTTCAAATAGCCTAAAACTGAGTTAAATTGTAACTTAGATTTAGTAGTTAAGTAAATGTCGATATATATCCAATTTGTGATATTTGCCAACAAGATTGGTGCACACAATAACAGTTATTACAGACAATGATTTATATACAGAAGTTTTACAAACTGGAACTTCCTTAATATCTTTCACGATGAGCGAGTTAATTTGAAGTTGATTCACAGGGAGCTAGCTAGCTCTGTGTTCTTCGCCGAGTTTCCCACCCTTGAAGTTAGGTAATGTTTTCGTAAAAGTACTAATGTTCGATGTGAATCCACTGAAGTTAAATGATTTGTAATATTCGAAATTTATAAATATGTCTGGCCAAATAACTGAAGTTTTCCGATTAATAAGCGTTAATAGTATACCAACTATAGCAAACCAATAATATATACTGTTTTTTGACGCGTCGCGTTGGTTATATTCATAGGTGTGTGGAGAGTTTCTCGAAAATTCAGATTACGTAACAGTACAAAGCTACATTTGCCTTGTTTAAGTGTATAATTATATTTCATTGTTATCATGAAACGGGAGATGTTCTACTTTGGACATATAAATATGTCTTAAGGAAGTTAGCCGATATTCTGATGGATAAAATGAAAGAAAAAAGAGCGAGAAGCAAGGAAAGACTCGCATGCTCGATTACATTATAAAATGGACTGGAGAAAATAATCATGAATTATGAAAGTTGGTGCAGGTAGCGAAGAATAAATAACCATAGTCATCGACCCTCAGAATTGGGCGGGGGGGGGTACACCCACACTATGCGATACAACATGGCACGAGTATATCCATTTTATTAACATTCACATAAGAAGTACTTCAAATGTGTAAACATTTTTGTATAGAAAAATAATTACGATTATTTAATTTAGGAAGTTTTTAGCTTGGAGTTTTGATACTTATGCATCAAAAATGGATTATTTTGTTTCTAAGCTCTACTAGTTTAATTTTAAGAACTTTGGTAAGATTTACCATTAGTCCACTCTTCATTAAAGTTCCCAATAGATTTAGAATGCATGATTAGTGATGATATTTTCTATCTACTTGTGTTTCAAAAGTACTTATAATTTTAAAAAGTTACATTGTTTAATGGTATAGTGCATGTGATATCAGCATAGGAAGATATTTGACATCAATACTTGCTAATATTTTTGATGATTTTATTAGACAAAAGTTTTCGGTTTTGTAAAAACTGTGGTTTGTTATTTTATGTTAATGTATATGTAGTTGACATTTTCACCAAGTTTATAATTTGTATAGAAGTTCAAACATTTTGTTGTTTGAACACTCTTTGTCCCAATACAAAGTTTACTAAACAATGAAATTACCCTTTTAAAATAGTCTGGTGGAAAATACTTTTATTATTAGAAAGACGAAAATAAAAGGACTAGTATAGATTTGTATATTAATTGGAAGTCAGCTCATAACATTTCATAAAAGTTTCTTGTATCAATAAACTTGTCAAAATTGTCTCTGTGGTATGCAAAACCATTAGCCAAAATTTTGACTTGAAAAATAGCATTTGTTGAATGCAATGGGTGTTGTTGATATTAATACTTGGAATCGTAAAAGATATTCAAAGAAAGGTTCCATATATTACTAAGCAAGTCGTTTCTTATGCTTTTCCATATATTTCTGTAAAAATAATTTGCCTACATTTGTCTGTTTTTGAATTTCGCGCAAAGCTACACGAGGGCTATCTGCGCTAGCCATCTCTAATTTAGCAGTGTAAGACTAGAGGGAAGGCAGCTAGTCATCACCAGCTCTTGGGCTACTCTTTTACCAACGAATAGTGGGATTGACCGTCACATTATTAACGCCTCCATGGCCGGAACTGTTGTGAAACTTAGAGAGGTATCTAGGCACCCCGTGGG